TTCTAATCTATCCCCTCGCTCTGCTACAGATCAGGCCCTATTCTCTTTTAGGACTCCTTCTATAGCTCTGTGCATGCTCTCATTGCCTCTGTCTTCTCTGTGTGCCCATGCCTGCAAGTGCATATCCTACACTCTGCCATATGGAAGCATCTGTCATTCTCATATGTAACGGGCTTTCATGGCCTGGTCCATGAGCAAACAGTGTCCTCTCCCTTGGAATATCTTATTCATATTTATATTCCTGGTGGCTAGGATGGTGCCTGACACATGGCAGGAAAGCTGCAAATGTTGACAAATGCATAATTAGTTGTTCATGGTGAAATAGAACACATGGCATGGTTTGGTTTCCTTTCTGCACTGTGGGGGAAATGGGCAGAAGAAATCAAAGGTCTGTCCTGGAAGAAGAGCTCAGGATCCCACTGGAGGAGAAGGAACCTGGATTGTTAATGCTTTAGAGAGAAGGGTCACTTTTGAAGCTGTGTAAATTGAGAGCAGAATCTAGTGATGATATTAAAGTCACATGTCTAAGAGAGAAGCTGTAGTATTTCCAAATGTTTATATACCTGCTGGCTGAAAAATGAGACAGAAGAAAGTATACAACACCAGTTCTCTCCATCAAATACTGATACTTCCAGAGAGTAGAGACGGCAAATGCCACTGAGACTAATATTCTATTTAAGTGGACATTTACTCTAGAAAGTCACCATCTGCTTGATTCAGGGTCAACTCCTCTTATTGGACACATTGCATATGGTGAAGGAACCTTTTCCCTGAGACAAGTGATCTGACAAGGGGAATGAAAGCCCTTGGCTCAAATGGTTGTAGGAACTTCTATCAGCAGACCACAGTTTCATTTTGGAATCTTTAGCTGGCTTGGGAACTGTAAACATAGCATGTGGCAAGCTTCCCACTTACTGTTCTCTAGGCACAGGGACAGGCCCTGCTTGCCTGGGAGCGATAGGAGAGGCAGATGGTAGTGAGCTGGCTCTCGCTACTCATGGTGCAGTGGCCACAGGACGATGGCATGCTTGGCAAATTTGATTCAGTCCACTGAGAAGGTTACAGGAAAGACCACAAGGCACAAAAGGGCTGGACACCACTGGAGGATGCTTTCTACATACAGCCCCTACTGTGTTCACATTTTTTTTTAATTACGGGAGACAATGATACTTTTTCAGTCTTCTATGTGCCTCTGCCACACAGTTCCCACTGTTTGACCAATTAGTCAAGAGAGCCTTACACAAGAACTTCTTTGATATTGACCCTAAGCTAGATTTACCGCTAAAAAAACAAACAAAAAAGCCCAAAAGACAAACGTGTTCAGACAGTGCTTCCAATAACCAATTGATCAGAAGAGCATTTTTTAAACATTATAGAGTCAAATTGACATTTAATTGTCCACATTTCTATTAGTTAAAATTTACATAAAGCTGGATCCCAATCAAGTTTATTCTAAGGGAGTTAAATATCAATCAACTGGGGAGAGAATGGGAAGGTAGAAATAACCAAGTAATTTCACTGGCTCTCTGCTTTAGTTGCCATCCGGTTCAACATGCAGTCACTGCACAAAAAAGAAAGTGCTCCCACCTAAAGGGTTTACAAAGGTCTGAACAAAGGAGAACAAAATATGTACATGTAAAATAGTTTTGTTCAGTGTTTTTACTAAGAACAAACCATATATGCACAAATGAGCTATAGGATATGAATTGCAAAATTCCATTGATCCCAGATGATAAGTTGAGTTATAGATTTGCCATCAAGTTAGTACTTATAATGATAAAACCAATGCAAATATTTTAAAATTTAACAGTCTTTTACTTTGAGTGATGGTAAATAGCAAACATTGGAAGGCAGCAGAAAAATGGGGGTACTTTATACTTCAGGGCCTTTCAAGACACCTTCTCTGCTCTTTGAAAAGGAGCACTACATGATTGTTCCTCATTAGTCAAGTTAAGCCCCCTGGCCCTGGATCAAGATATATCCAAGGCACTGATGATGTCTTCAGCCCTTACAGGTCTGCACAGGTTTTGACGTGTAGTAGCACCTACAGCCCTTGCCTATCCACTGTCTACTGGGCAGCCCTGGTTGAACCCTCTAGCATGCTGTTCTAAGATGAGAAATCAGAAGTGCATGCAAGCTGGAAGTCTGAGAAGCTTCTTCGGGGGTCACCTAGAATGCCATACTACAACAACTGACTCTTGGGTCCATCACAGTCACCCTGATGGATCTGAACATGTTCAGGATTCATGCAAAATATAGACATACTTCCCCAGAGCATGGAATCTTAGGTCCTCTGCCCAGAATGTCATCTATGCTCCGTAGCGACAGTATCCCTCTCATTCTCCAATCTCTTTTGAAATATGTTCTCCTTGGAGAGGGCTCCCTTATCCTGACTCTTGTTCATCTCAACTCTCAGTTTCACTTGTTCTCAGAAGGGAGGGGAACCAGTTAGCTTGTGTACTCCTTAGGTGTCATCTCTAAAATGTGTGAACAGGGACTGGGCTCCTGGATTCCTGCTGTACTGTGGTAACCCTAGCTTCTAGCCCTGGAGTTGGCAGATAGTCCACAGAACTGTATTTGGTAAATGAAAAAATGCAATTAGCACTCACAATTAGGACTGGTTAAAATATTCAAAATTCAAATATAGCCAGGTGTTGGTGGCACACACCTTTAATCCAAGCACTCGAGAGACAGAGGCAGGCAAATCTCTGTGAGTTCGAGGCCAGCCTGGACTATAGAACAAGTTCCAGGACAGGATCCAAAGCAATATAGAGAAACCCTGTCTCTAACAAACAAACAACAAACAAAAAATGTCACCCTCAAAATTCAAATATAAGACTTATGTCAACGAAGCAGCAAATTCTAGACATTAACTATGACACCAAAGCAGTTCAGAAGGTTCGCAGAGCGCATTGGGGACTTCAGTGTTCTAGTGCACATTATAGAAGCAGCTGGCAACGGCAAACGTATACACATGTAAAACTTAGTGAGAATGTTTAAAGTACAAAAGTCTTCCTTTTCTCCCTCCCATTTCCTCATCTTTATTATATTCCTTGTTTCTGACCAGAGTATTAGCAGTTTTGCAGACAGAAATGTCACTAAATGATCATAAAGTTTTTCTCACATGACTACATTTTGATAAAAATATGTGTATACCATCTGATATAATTATTGTTTTAGGTAATTTATTTGAATAATTAAAGAATACATAGGAGAGAAATATTTAAAACTTTATATGTCTTGCTATTTTTTTCTCCCTTTTTATACTAAGTTGTCCTCTAAGATGTCAAATTGTCTATTTTATAAGCTATTTTTGGGTACTGGCACCCACAAACATGAAGTGATTTCCTTGAGGGTTTTTTTTTTTTTTGGTTTTATAAGACAGGGTTTCTCTGTATTGTTTTGGAGGCTGTCGGTCCAGCCTGGCCTCGAACTCACAGAGATTCGCCTGCCTCTGCTTCCCGAGTGCTGGGATTAAAGGCGTGCGCCACCACCGCCTGGCACCTTTTCAACTTTTAAAAATACTGTTTTTCCAAAATCTGACTGCTCCAAAGGCACCTAGTTATCATTCAGCAAAATGACAAAGCATTTATTTTGTAATATGCATGTTAAGTGGAGAGGGTAACAGGATAAAAAAAAAATCACAGTGGACTTCTACAAAATAGGATGTTCTTATTTCAAAGGACTTTTGTTGCATCTGTCCAGTACCCTCGACTCACAGGTGTCTACCTCATCCCAGCTCATATGCCAAGGGACACAACAGTTGTTGGATAGGTCTTTCTCTTTCCCAAGAAGTTCCTGTAAGTTATAGTTTATCTGAAACAAAAACTCCATACTGGAAGTGGGGGCAGCAGGAGCTATGGATTATGGCTAGGGTGTTCTGAAAGTCTCTGCAGAGAGTGCTACTTCCAAACACTCCCTACCAGCCTGGACAAAGCGGGAGAGTGCACTGGAGGGAATAATGCAGCCTGGCCCCAGGGGAGGGACCAGATGGGACCTAATAGCTCTTTTCTACTACTAATTTCTATGATAATTTTAAGTTGCCACATGGCATATGTATTTTTTAAAATCTTAAAGGCAGGACAGTAGACAACTGAATGACCAATATTTAAATGAAAAGTATTTGTCACAAACTGTATCTGTTTACACATTATTTCTCAATCATCCTCTACCCACTAATAATACATCACTTACACTTAGGCTGGGAGAAGTCTATGGAGAGAGGTCAAATAGAATGTGGTTTTAATCATTATCAATACCAATTAGGAACAAAGAAATTCTAAGTTTTATTAGCAAGTCAGATGGTTTTTGTACTTGTTTGTGAAGCTACTCATCTTAATCTTTTCTTACAGGTAGAGATCATGTGGATTTAAGAATAACACTGTCAAGTCATGCTTGAAAGAAAAATTAGGAACATGAAATTTCTTGTTTTCAGAGATGAGGTCAGAGATTAAAAGAGGAAGTATTAATGACTGGAGAAATTACAAAAATGTTTTCTTTCCACTCTTACTGATGAATCCAGATACAACTTGATTCAGGGACTCCTTTACCTCTCCTCTATGACAGGTGTTAATTTCTCCTTCCTCCATCCTTCAGAACTTTCTGCATTTCTCAGGCATTGTGTGCAGTTTTTGATTTATCAGTCATTTCATTTACTTTTGTCTTCTGGTGCTCTCAATGAGACTTGTGTGACTTGCTACCTAGTCCTCTTTCTACACAGTGGAATGTGACTCAAGACAGAAGAAGAGACCGAATCTGGGAAAAACCCCCCAAACCATGAGCTTGAGCGTCATGACAGTCACAGCCTCTAGACAAAGACTCTTGAATAAACTAGGAGAACAAACACTATGTTCACTGCAGCACAATATTATTGTATTCATAGAAATCAACCAACAGTACCACAGTCTGAAAGCAGAAGCCCACTTACCTCTCCTAAAAGCTCGCCAGGTCTCTCACTCTGGGGAGGGTTAACAAGTTACATATTTACAGCAAAAAGATACAAGCTCTGATAGAGTGGGATGAGGCACTTCACCGCTCTGCTGGCATTGATGCACGTGGCACAGATAAGGCTTGGCAGCAGCTTCCCACTCACAATGGCTCCGTCGAACAGAGGCCCAAAGAACGGAACCTGGGATTCATAACAGAAAAACTATGTTCAGACCCAGCAACAGTTAAGGTAGAGAACTGATGCTTTACATGAAAGACTGGGAGTGAATACACAGGCTGTCATCCAGGCAGGCAAACCTCTTCAGAGCAAGTTGAGAGCTTTCAAGTCAAAGACCAGTGGATTGTCCCACCAGGTTCTTTCACGAGAACTTTCTATACGGCCTTTTAAATGGGAAATTATCATGTTTCCCCCTACCACCCTGTACTGTCATTCACAGAAGTGGCATTATTCTTTCTACATGCCTATGCCATTGTAGACAGATGCACTTCACTACACTCTCCTATGTACAGTCTTCAATTTCTTGAATTTTCCACCCTATGCTTCCAAGACCCTGCATCATGCTCACTCCTTTCCACTTTTAAGAGATGCTTGGCTTTCTTTTGCTACATCTATTTTCACCACATGGGCAAACCATAGTGTTCATGGATGTTTTTTTAATTTATTTCTTTTCTCTTCCTTCCCCCTCTATTAGAATTTCATTAATTCTACTCACTAACATGGAAGTTGTCAGATCTGTGAGATTCGGGACTGGAGCTGGCTACTAACTCTTATATACACCTACAATTTCTCTTGATCTTCCATTAATTTACATAGTATTTATCATATGTAGACCTTTTATTCTAATCTTCTCACTAAAAGGACATGTGAAGAACATATATACATAAAATCTCCTATAACCTAACTCAAAGTTTGCTACAGATTTCAGAAAATAAACAGTTAAACATATACAGCATAAGATGTTTAAAGTAGAAGATAATGCAGAGAAGAGCAAAGGACTTTTGGGTGGATGTGTATCTCCAATTATTTAAAAATTAACAGAAGATGTTTCATTAAAAGTCTTTACAAGACAGAAGAATGAACCAGGAGCTATGAGGACAATGGATGGAAGCACATTCCACAAAGAACAGCAAGTGTTCAGCTTGTGATAGGAGTGGGATTAGTGCGTTTAAGCAAAGGCAGGAGAGTAACAGTTGTCAGAGCCAAATTAGTATAAGGAAGGTCAGGAAGGAGAGAAGTCAGGCAAGAAACAAGAAGGGCCTTGTAAGAAATCATAAGAATTCTCAATTTCTACTCTAAGGAAGACAGAAGCTTTCTAGAGGGCTCTAGGGAAGTAGAGAACACCATTTAACCTACATTTGTGTGTGTGTGTGTGTGTGTGTGTGTGTGATGTATGTAGGCACAAGTGCACATTTTCTGTTAGACATGACAAGACTCAACATCACTGTCACTTCCTCTTACAGATTCATTCAAGGGCTCAATGCAGTGTATGGTGAGATGACAGAGGCTCCGGGAAGTAAAGACATTCCTTAGGAAGAATGGGGTAGGGGCTTGCTTTAGCTCTAGGAAAGCATGTTCTAAGCTGTAGAACCAGATGAGATACTAGAGCAGTTCACACAGGACCCATGGAGCCAAAGGGAAGAGTCACACTTTCCTGTGCTGTATGATCATCACTGGAAACTCATTTATGGAGCTTTGACCATTGGGAATAGGACCCTGTGAGCTGGTGATGTTGATTTGTGAGATGTAGCCTATTCCTGGAGCCAGTGACCCCCAAGAGGGTGGTAATTCCTTTGTAATTAGAAAACTGAGGTCTGGGTCTAAGGAGACAGGTGGGGTCTTCCACTTTACTCTTGTTCTTCTGTTCCTCTGATGTTTGTCTGATTTCTTTGGGGAACTTAATGCAGCAGCACTCCTACCAGAAGACATGGCTACTTGGGACTCTGGGATCACTGTATACTGAGACAGACAATACAGGAGGGTCTGGGTGAGTGGTCCTACCCAAGGGAAACGGTGCTGCTGTTGCATAGTGGGGACAGGGAACAGAGAGCTCCTGGGGCGCCCCCTCCTGGTCTCATACTCAATGGTAAAGTTAATGAAAGACTATCTGGAGTCCTAATCAGAACCTGGATTCAAAGGTTTCATCCATCTAAACCTTCTGAACTACTGAGTGTATATGAACAAGGCCTAGGTATTAAGATTTTTCCACAACTGTTAACAAGCTGGCTTTCCTTATCAGCTAGCCACAGGATGGAAGATACCTATGAAGTTCACACCATGTCTTCCATGACTACATGATACACAGCTAGAAAGTACAGCCCAAACTAATTTATATCCATCAGGCTGGGGTGCAGAGCAGAACATTTTTGCACTCAAGTTCTCTTATTGGCAAACTGTGAACACAAAGGCAGTTTTTCACAGAGAAGTAGTGATCCCGAAGTTCATGGTACCTGTTAACATTGTCAAGCACATCAGCCTGAGGGTGTATCTAGCTGCTAGGGCAAGGACAATATTTGGGATAAATCTCCACTTAATGCATAAGAACTAACCCCCCAAGAGCTCAGTTGGAACATTCTGATGCTTTCAACCAGAGCTGTGCAAATGCTTCACAGACAACCCTGAGCTTTTAGAATTAGACTACTGCCATGTATGGGCTTACTGAGGGGTAGTCCATGCTGAAAACTGCCTTCTTTCCTAGGTGGCCTGTTATACATCCCAATGCTGTAGGTACTGCATTCATAACAAATATATGGCCATGATTTTTGTGTCTGGCTTTTTGGCACTGACTTGATCATACAAGAAGGCAGTAACATAAAGGTTTTTGATTTGAGTTTCTGCAGAAAATCTCATATTTGTCTTTCATGTGGATACAGGATAGATACTCTGAAGCACACAAATATGAAAAAGGCTTCATTTCTATGCATCTACATTTGGTCCTTGAAAGTTAGGTGGCCAGAGACCAAATGGCAACCTATACTAGGAGAATACCTGCTTATAGAATGGAATGATGGGTGTAAAGAAAGGATCTGAGAGGTTAAGAGCAATCACCACAGTGAGCACAATTGTTAGGAAGCTTAAGTAGATGGTAAGGATCATGGCAACCATGAATTTGGAAATAACTTTAGATGTAGAGGTTAAGTAGACAGGCTATTAAGAGCATCTGCATGTGTGGGGAAAGGGACTCATGGAGAACTGTCAGTGGCTTGACAGACCAAAACAGCTTTCCCTATAAATGCTTAGTCGAGGATAACTCCCTACCCCTACCCACCCCCCCCAAATAAAGAAGTTCCAACTGCTCTAAAGAATACTGCTTCATCTGGACTGAGACGAAATTTTTAGGGGGGTTGATTACTACAAATAATATATCTTTCCACATTTCTCACCAATCTTCTAAGCAGAACAAAAAGTACTAATGAACAATGGTGAAAGAACAAAGAAGTATCAATATTAGAGGGTAGCTTCAAGGTAAGCAAGACCATGCAGACCAGGGGCTGGTCCTGCTCCAGGGAAGGACACTGTCCAAGGCTTCCTGGTATGGTCGGAACATACCACCTGTAAATACCTCTACCTTTGAGAGCTATGACTCAGTGTCTGGTCACAGCTTTCCCCTTTCCTCTTGGGGAAGTCCACAATCCTATAGAAAGTATGAACTGAAAGGGAGTATTTGCACTTATGTATCTGAGATACTGAAATGGGAGACAGATAAGTCAATTAAAAAGTTTGTATTAGAAGACAACTTTTCTGTTTGGGGAAAATAATAAAAAATTGTGAAAAGAACATGTTATATTTGCAGCACTTTTCACATGTTCTGTGGTTCAAGGTAGGATGTGACAAAGGGAAAGAGATGTGTTCAAGAGAATACAGCTCTCTTTAAGGGGAACTCTCTAAGGACTGTACTGTTTAGGAAAACAACGTGACACCTCAATGAATGTCTTATAAGTAGGCTGATCACTTAATTTGCCCTACATACATAATTAACCTATGTCTTAATTAGTTAAGAGATTATATTAACCACAGACAAGGGGTTTTAAAAGCTCAGGAACATCTGAATTGATGATGAGTAAAGGGGCTGTGGTTGAGTTCTGAGTTTAGTGCTTTAACACAGGATATGTAATTCTCCTGGCACTTCTATATCCCCATTTTTACAGAGAAATGAATGACAAAGACTGCAGTGGCCTGCTGGTTTTCTCAAGGTCATCTAAATCAAAATATTGGTTCTGACTCCACTGTGACCCAGGAGGATCTGCATAGCCGGTCGTCAGCCCCCTCTGTTTTGTTTCTCTGATGCTAGCCACATAGGATGTTTTTCTTTCTTCCCTCCTGAAACTCAGGCCTAACTCAGGACTTTGTCTTCTCTGTCCTCCCTGCCTCATACTTGATGAGGGCTGGAACACCTGCTCTATTTGGTCCCAGATCAATTATCATAACCCAGGGAGCCTCTCAGTCCACATGAATCACTGTGCAATATTCCCTTTATCTCTGATCACTTTCATTGCCTGAAGTTGACTGACATCGTTAGTCTATCTTTCTTCTGATTAGTGTTAGCATGGTATATCCTTCATTAGCATTTGTTTAAAAGTCTTTGCTAGGTGACTTATTGTCGGGCCTTGTTTCTTCTTTTCTTCCTTCTTCTTCTCCCCCTTCCTTCTCCTCCTCCTTCTTCTTCTTGTTCTTTTCTTTTTTCTGCACCTTGTCAGTGCCTGTATTTTCTTTCTTTTCCTACTGATAAGACTGAGCCTGCGGCTTGTTCATGCTATTCAGTTTGCATTTTATGACTGAGCTACATCTCCAGCCTTTGTCTTGTTTTTTTAACTCATATATTTAAAACACTGATATTAAAAGAAGTTATTGATAGTGTTAATTAATATTTGCTGTGTTACTTAGTTTTCTTTTTGGTCTTCCACTTCTATCTTCTCTGATTTTATCTGAATATTTTTGTGATTCTACTTTTATTCTCATTTATCATAGCAATTACAATTCATATTTTAAGCACTTTTTTATTTTTGTTTTTTTTTGTTTGTTTGTTTGTTTTTACGAGACAGGGTTTCTCTGTATTGTTTTGGAGGCTATCGGTCCAGCCCGGCCTCGAACTCACAGAGATCTGCCTGCCTCTGCCTCCCGAGTGCTGGGATTAAAGGTGTGCGCCACCACCGCCCTGCCTTATTTTTGTTTTTTTGAGACAG